CATGAAGAAATCAAGAAATTTCCTAGAATTTTGATGACAAAATTATGTGGCATCCCCTGCCCAGACATATTCCCAGCAGTGGAAGTTGATGACAATATAGTATTTTTTCAAAGTGTGATAATTACTTGTAACACGCAAATAAATATTTTTCATGATCAAAACAAATGTAGTTTCATAACATTACCAACCAAGATCTGGAAACTTCTAAGGGAAAACAACTGCAACATTGTGAATCAAATTAAGATATCACAAGCTGTTGATTTATATATTTTCAAAATTGTTCTTATTTGTTCCAAATAAAACACTATGTATGACTGCATTTGGATCGACATATCTCTATTTTGTTTGGATTTCTATTTTTGTGCTTAAGATTCCGGCTCATTTTCACGATTAGCTTCAACAGATTCTTGTCAATAAAACACATAACATAACTCTCAATAATGCCAATCTTGACTTTTGCAAGGATATGTTTAAAATGTGAAAGACATGCAGATGTCAAGCTGGTCTCCTTTATGATAATATCCCTTGAAGAGTCAACATAATTCTACTCCTTCCCAAGGGTCTCATTAACATGATGAGAATAAGCCATCAATGTTCTATTTTATATCTTAACATCCTGTCAGCTATTGAAAAATTCATGTCTATGGTACTGCTGTTGAATAATGAGATCTAAGTCTTGATATGAGGCTTTGTGACCCTCCCCACTGGTAAATCCAGAAGCTAACAAGTGGGTATGTTTTGGCGCCTAAATCCCAAAATTTGGCCCAAATTTTGAAAATTGAAGGCCCATTTTTGATAAATTGGCCCATCCAAGGGGGGGATGGATCTGCCAGTGCTCCCCCTCCCTTCCTGACTTCTCCAAGAGATGAGGCAAAATAGATGAGGAAAGAGCTCAAGAGAAACCATGCAAATATATTTTAACAAGACCTGTCTTATCCGAACACTACTGGGAAGTGATTATTGATTTTTGTGAAAATAAAATAAACTATAAATAAAATAAAAATAATGATAAAAATAAAAACCCTCCTGGGACAAATCAAGAGTGTTCAGATTAGCAGGTGTTCACATTGCAAGGCTTCTTAATATGTTCAACAATGGGAGATTGGGACACAATTGGAACTAAGAAAAAGTGTTCACATTAAGTGATGTTCAGATTCAATACATTTTCCAATATACAGACTCTACAATATAAGAGGGGTGATCCAAAAGTCTTGAAACCAACAGGGCATCCAAGACTTTTGGAATGCCCCTTGTTCATGTTTTTCAATCAAAAAGCAATCTCAATTAGAAAATGAAACGCCTAGTAATCCATTAAGTTCTATTGAGAGGGTAGAATATAGCACTTTTGGTTTAATAACATTCCACAGTATATTGTATATAATTTGCCACTGAAACACACCTCTTTAACAAGGCACTATCGTGCAAAATATTACCACCTGCCATTTGTTACAGACTTCCAACACCAACCACCAGCTGCAGAATATAAACTGCTGACTACAGAATGCCAACTGCCGAATGCCATCCACAAGATAGTGGTGACATAAAAATCGAATACACACACACACTCATTTTCTCTTGATAATAGCTGACACACGCATGCCCACAAGAGGCATTCACCTTCAGAACATCGACAAAAACATACTGACATGTAATACAATTATTCACGCAATTTATATCATTTCAGCGGATGCAATTGGCACTTTGTACCATTAGTACAATGTATTGATCTCAAGAATAAGATTCCACAAGGACAACTGAAATACCCATGGTTGCCACACCATCGATGTTCATAATATTTTGAGGGTGTTAAAGCCATTTTTGGTTTTGAGATAAAAATTGTTTTAAGCAAACACTAAAAACACAAAAAACACTAAAAATTGTATATTTTCAAGGTATATTTCATTGCGATGTCCATGTTCAGGTTACAAGTCACAGCATCTTGGTGGTTGACAGCAATCCATAACAAGGCCGTACTCCAGGAAAACTTTATTTTAAATCTTAACCAGAATGCTTCAAATCCTCAATCAACTACTGAAAATCTGAATCCTTCAAATGGTTCGCTTTTAAAACATATAGTCGAGACTTTGCAGACAAAATTTTGGGCCTTAAAATTCTCAAATTCGATCTACCTCGCCAATCAACCTGTTCGTATCTAATAGGGTTTACTAATAGAGAGGAGCTAAATACTCGAAGCAAACAGAAATAATCTGAATTCTCGTACTTACTTCAAATATGTTACTTGGTAGGAGTCTCAACTTCTGAGCTTGTGTAAGGTAGTCTTGTACATACTCCACTGAGGCCTTGGTATAGCCCTGTAACATATCATATAAACATGTAAAATAGTCTTGTACATACTCCACTAAGGCCTTGGTATAGCCTTGCAACATATCATATAAACATGTAAGATAGTCTTGTATGTACTCCACTGAGGCCTTGGTATAGCCTTGCAACATATTATATAAACATGTAAGATAGTCTTGTATGTACTCCACTGAGGCCTTGGTATAGCCCTGTAACATATAAACATGTAAAATAGTTTTGTACATACTATACTGGGGCCTTGGTAAAGCCTTAGACAGGCTCTGAAAACCTCAATTTTAAGATTGTATATAAAGACTTCATACTTTAAGGTTTCTTCAAATTGTTGAATCCAAGGCCTTTATCAAACATTAAAGTCTTGTAAATAATAGTCAAACACGACCTTTGTTTAGCCCTTTAATATAAAACTGCAGTTTGAAACATTACAAATCATAAATATACAAAAGCGATAATGAAATTAATATCAGAGCAACTAGGAAACAAAACGTTGTTTGCGAACTGTCATTTGTTAGAATAGAGCAATCTTTTCAATTAGTGTATGTCCATTATTCATGCAAATATTTCACAAAGTTCCACTTTCTCAATTACCCTTCGATGTGTCAGGCCAATATCTTAATAAGAGAGACCTATATCAGTGGCCTGATTCAATCTATGTAAACCCGGGCCTGACCTGGCCTGTAGCAAGGATTTGCTGAGGGGGTTCACTTTTTAAAAAATTCCATGGGGGTCACTTTTGATAACTGTGACTCAAAAATGACTGAAATCACTTGAAAAGTGATCAAAATGGTGAAAAAACTGCATGATTTTGAAAGAATTTTTGGCCAGGGGGCTATGGACCTGAAACCTATCACGATAACCGCCCCTACTCCCCACCCACCCCTTGTCTTGTTCTTTCCAAATGACAGATAAGAAGGGGTCTAGAAAACAAGAATGATCTAAACCTTATAACGCAAGGGTAGGTAAAGAGTAAGTTAAGCATATCTTCCATCACCTTTATATTTATCCCATGGTTACAAGGATATATGGTAGCTAGAATATCCTGTGAAGATATAATTATTTGTTATGTACATGTAGATCAAGATATCAAATTTTACAAAAAATCCTCAAACGATTGAATATCACTTCTCAAAAAGTGATATTCGATGGTTTTGATTTTTTCAAAATATTATTTATGAACTCTGTCAAACTATTTTTTTAAATTTTTACTTAATTTTTTTCGCTGGGTAATAAATGCCAATGTAAAAATTAACAGACAATCCCCCATTCCCTCCTTAAGATATCATTATCCACTCATGGATATATAAATGATTTTTTTTTCAGATCCATAGGATATTCTGATAATATCAAGGAGCTCAATGATCCAGTTATATGGAAAATAGACTATGATTATGGTACTTTTACTTACTTTTATATATTTCTCTTCATATTCTGTACATATTTAACTTGAAGGATGCCAATAATATTTTAAAGCCTAATCAAAAAGCATTATAAACCCCTCCACAATAATGCAAACTGTACTTATACCAACAATTGAAAAAAAAACACAATTTAAAACGACAAAAGAAGTTGAAGAAAAACACAGTGATATAAAATTGCCCCCTTATAAATCAAATTATCTTTTACATCTGTAATAAAAAATTCATGGGTGGTTTTCTGGCTCTTTTTATGGCAAGATTTCTCGCTTTATTTGCATGTCCACACCCTGCACATTAAAAACACATGACAACAACGTAGCATGTTTCTAGTATATAAGAAAGAAACCTTAATACCCGAATCATTCTAAAAAACAAGATTATATAAACAAAAGATTTAATTACTCTGGCCTTAGAGGGAATTCCAGTCTAAATAAACAGTTCTATAAAAAGTTTATTAGATCATCAACCTGGTTACATTTAGAAAACATCCTAATAAAAATTTAACATCTAGATAAATTACAATGATTCTATTTCTATTTTGTAACAATGATGTTTACACCAGTTTACACCAGTTTACACCTATATTAAAGGGAGAATCAGATCCAGAGAGCAAGTTCAAAAAATACTTCCTATTTTAGAATATTTTTGGCTCATAATGTCATGTCTTTTTTTCTAAAAATCTTCAAGTACTAATACTTTATTCCAGGAAAACTTAAGATGTTTGCGATAATGTGTTATTTTTCTATTTTTTATGGTTACTATTTTTATCATTTGGGAGAATTTAAACACTTTTCTCCCATTTTTGCACTTTGAATTCTTCTAAACTTCATTTTATAACATATCTCATATCTTTTTGGATATAACTTATTTGAGATTGTAAGGAATAGTTCAGTAGGTAAATTGAACATATGTTGCTTGCAATTGTGTCACCCCTATAGATCTGATTCTGCATTTAACATATAATAACAGTGATTTTTCACACATACTTTAAAATGGAATAGCAATCAACACACACTTTTTATGTGCATTTACTACAGTATAATCTAAAACCAACAATTGATAAACCACAGTTGAATATATGACTCCATAACTCATCATTTTACGGATAACTTATTCTTCGAAATTGAAACTAAAAATTGATGCGCATTAACAGTTTAGATACAAAAGATCATCATTTTGGAATATTCCAACAATCAAAAAAATAATAATTTGAAGCGGTTTTTATAGGCAGAGACAAGAGAATTATCAGATGTAGATTTCTGATTGATATTAAGTGCATATAATAGAAATCCCTTTGATGTTCCTTCCTGTTAAGGTCACTCTTGGGATTTCTATGTTTTTATAGATTATTTCTAATAGATGAAGAAATCACGAAAGTCACTCTGATATTCATTTGTGATATAATACTTTCAAACATCCATGATGATTATGCCATGATGTGGTTTTCACCTGTGAGTTATACAGATGGAGTTTATATCAATCGTTTCTGTATGTGTTTTTCAAAGATTATCCTGGGTTTCGATTTTGAAACTGATTTACAATTATGTGACAAGTCAATGTTTGTCAAAAAGGAGACAATAGTATTCTTGGAATCTCAAGTTACAATCATAAAAATCTATGTGTCTCAAACTGATTTTTCCACATCTCTCTTTCAAAAGCCCTATGTTCCCAATTTCACATGCCCCATGTACCCTGTTTCACATGACATTTGTTCTCTATTTCACATGCCCAATGTTTCCAATTTCACAACCCCTATGTTCCCAGTTTCACATGCCCCATATTCCCTGTTTCACATGACCCATATTCTCTATTTCACATGCCCTATGTTCCTAGTTTCACATGCTCCAATGTTCCCGTTTTCTCATGATCTATTTCACATGCCCTATGTTTCCTATTTCACTGCCCTATGTTCCCAGTTTTACATGCCCCATGTTCCCTGTTTCACAATATGCCCTATGTACCCTGTTTCACATGACATTTGTTCTCTATTTCAGATGCCCAATGTTTCCAATTTCACAAGCCCTATGTTCCCAGTTTCACATGCCCCATATTCCCTGTTTCACATGACCTATATTCTCTATTTCACATGCCCTATGTTCCTAGTTTCACAAGCCCTATGTTCTAGTTTCACATGCTCCAATGTTCCCGTTTTCACATGATCTATTTCACATGCCCTATGTTTCCTATTTCACAAGCCCTATGTTCTAGTTTCACATGCTCCAATGTTCCGTTTGACATGATCTATTTCACATGTCCTATGTTTCCTATTTCACAACCCCATGTTCCCAGTTTTACATACCCCATGTTCCCTGTTTCACGTGCCCTATGTTCTCTATTTCACATGCCCTGTTTAATTTTTTACAATACAATACTGTATGATACCGTAAAATATGATACTATATGATATAACAATATGTCACTACTTGTGGGGTTGACATAATTCCAGGAGAGAAACTACTGAATCTAGCTGATTAAACGAATGGTATAATATGGCAATAAAATCTCACTGGTTGCAAATAAGCAACACACAGATGTAAGGTTATCAAATAATTCTAAGAAAAACATAATGAAAAAATACAAGGTTATTAAAGGACTCTATTTTAAGGACAAAATGAATGATACAAATCTATAGTGAGACTTCAGTTTCCGAATTTCAAATAAAGATTTACAGATTTTTTCAAGATGGGCTGGGATCACATTGTTTTACTATTCATCTATATTAGGTTGACAATGTCAAAGTGGTAACCTTTTTAAAAACAAATGAAATATTCAATGTTCTCATAAGTCTTTGGGCACAGCTGCTTTTGAATAATTCAAATAAAAAATAAATAAATAAAAGCTGCAATAAACCAAGAATTTATTACAATGAAAACATGAGCACTTTCAAAATCTATGAGTAAGTGTACCATGTAGAATTTTAAATATTTAATTATAATTCGCTTATTAGGTATTTCTAGAAAAGGATTGTATTGAAAGTTACTTGAAAATCATCCTTGCTCCAAGGTTTTTTTCACTTCTTTCCATGAATTAAGGAACAAATGAAGACTTTTGAATGAAGGTGGCGTTTAATGGTACAAGTTAAAAATAGTTCTGATTTTCTAAGTTTACCTAAATGAATGCTATACTATCAACTACAAATGAATATCATATCAATTGATCAACTTTATAATATGTTTTATACATTGTGTGAAAATTTCATGAGAAAAGATCAAAAATCTTTTGAACTTATTGAACAACCTGGTAGGTAATGGGAAGAAATATAAGGATAAAAAATCACGGCTTTAACGTTGTGACTTTATCCCAGAAATGTAAATGCGCCTATCAAATCAAGAAAAAATGCTTGACATATAATAGAGCTTGACATATCTTGAAGTGATCTAAACATTCAGATACTATGATTATAACTAGGAAAAACACATAACATATTTGTTTTTAATTTGGCACTTACTTTAATACAGTGAATATAACAGATTTGAAAACTAGGCCTAAAAAAATCATCTTCGTCATACTGTGTCAGAAAATAAAACCCGTTTAGGATTTGATAAAATCCTCCAATTAAATAAGCACCATTAGACTTGTGAGAATTACACGATACAAATTTTTAAAAAAAAGCGCCAAATTAATAACAAATATTGTTTTTCTATGAAAATCAAGCAATTGTCCTAAGTGAAACTTATCAAGCAATGATTTGCATACTCACAAGTTTCTCCTTTTGGAAATATTAAAGAATAGCAAGTTTTATACATAATATATTGATGACAGATTTCTAAAAGAGAAAAGGAGTTCATACTTGCATAGATTTTGCCCCTCTTCCCTCCCTTTATCCTATGTCCACTGTATATTCATAAGGGTTGAGATTTACAGTTAATTGCCTCAATTGTGCATGCCAATCACTTTTAGCTCTTGGCACCAGACTTGGAAAAACTGGCTACCTTTTGAGCAGAACAAAATCTGAGCCATGGACCCCAAGCTTGTAGCCAGCTTTTACTGATGGAGGGTTCACTTTTCAAAAAATTCCAGGGGGGTTAACTTTTGACAACTTTGGTCCAAAATCACCTGAAAAGTGCTCAGAATGGTGAAAAACTGCATGATTTTGAAATAACTTTTGGCAAATAGGGGGCTTGAACCCCCTTCACCCCCCCCCCCCCTTGCTAAGGGCCTGAAATCTTGTAAATTCACCATTTGTAGGGAAAATAGGAAGAGGGGTAATACAGAAAATGAATGCAAGATAAGGAAAGGGGGTAAAAATGATGAAAAATATACAGGAAATCATATATAATATTCAGATGTTAATAAAGTACAAATCAAAATCATGAATATAAAATAAGTTTTATCTATTAAAATATAACGAAGCAAAATAGATCATGCAATTACTGGAAAAGGGTTGCATAATAACGAGACCTTGAGCATGCAAAGATGACGTCAATAATGAAACACTGCTTCGATTCATGAGAGACAATCTTTGATGAAAAAGCCATAAAATCATAGATATTTGTAATCCATACTGAAAACACAAAGATATCTTCAGGAAAAATGGTTTCTAAGAAGAATAATATGTATGTATTTACCCTTATTTCAACCATGGTATTAATCAACAGAGGTATTTATCATAAATTTTTGATTCTCATATTTTTTTTATTGAGATGCTAAAGCTCATAACATTAAATGGGAATTGTAATGCTAGTATATAAATATACGAGGGTCATCTAATAAACTCATAAAATTTTTTTTAATCATTTCCTTAATTATGAAATGTAAGAGGTTGAGTACAATATGCAATATAAATGTTCAATACTGGCCAAATATTTAGAGCATTTGTATCAAAATTTATTAAACAGTCCTCGTATAGATGCACATACTGTACATATGTTCTGAAAATACAAAACTCATAGAATAATCTGAACATGTACATTACATCTGTCTATGATTTTTTATGGGTTTATGATCAAATAATGTAATACGAAAGCAAGGGTGTTTCATTAATAATCTGACTTACGTGGGACTGTGATAGCAACTCTTTCATGATATAACTGTCGTAGATTTCTTTGCCTAGCTTTATTCTCTCTTCATCTGTTTCTAGTTTTTCAAATTTTCTAATCTGAAAATAGAATATTACATTTGATTAATTTAACAATAAGCGATTCACTTTTGTGAAGAGTTTTGTCTTGATATGATTAAATGATGAACAATGGGATACGGCATATACCACACATACTAGCTGATTTAATGCATCAAATCTCCATATCACCAAATCCCCCCACTCTCTCCCTACCCCTCTCTCTCTCCAGTCGCTCCACTATACACAAGAACATCTATACCACACACTCATAATCAAATATAAAAAATAATTTCATTAGTCATATAATCATATCTCTTTCATCTATCGAGGCCTGTAGCCAGGGTTTACCTAGGGACCGGTTTTACCAAGGGGGCAGCTTTTGCCAAGGGAGGAGCTTTTTGACATTTTTGGCAAAAAATCATACCAAAAGTGCTCAGAATGGTAAAAAAAATATGCATGATTTTGAAAGAATATCTGGCAGGGAAGGGAAGCGGAGGGTCTGGCTACAGGCCTGCTATCACACATAATCAACACGCTCTTGCACAGTCGAAATGTTGACACATGCGCAGACCTCTATTTAGTGATATTTTCATTTCAAATATGGCGGCCAATCCGATGTCTGACGACCCTTACAAAGAATCTAGGCAGTGTGCATTTTTACCTCCTGTGAAATAACAAGTGGAATTTAGTAGTTGTTTTGTGTTTTATTATCATTCTGCATCATAATTCTATGTGATGTGGTGTTGAAATGTCAGCAGAAATACATATCCATACGATAATCGAGTGAATCAGATAACAGATTCTTCGAAAACACGTCTCGTGCTAAGCGTGTAGAAACTTGAATTAACATGCTCAAAAGTGCCAATGTGCACATCAATGTCAAGCTAAATCAATGTTGTCTCTAAAACAGGTACCTGATCTACTCAAAACAGCTTGTCATTCAAGTATACACGCTTAGCAAACACGGCGAAATGATCTGAATCTTGGAATTTCGTTCGAGAGCTAGTAATGTTTGCTCCGGTCTTCGTCATAAGTGTTCATCAGACTTCACGCATGCTCAGGAGAAAAACCATCAACCAATCACGTTTATAAATCAATTTTGCGCATGCGCCTTACAACGGTAAAGAAATTTGTATTCATAAACGAACCAATTTGAGATAACCCGATATCAGTCGGAGAAATCTGACGATCTACGAAACTCACTTCAAAAAATCAAATGCGGACTGACGGCGTATTCTACTATGTTTGGATCTAAGATTTTCAGTATAGATAAAGTCTTTTATGATCTTTCAAATGAGGTAAGTCTCTAGTTCGAAAGACAATCGTATCAACTTGAACAAAAGTTGAGTTTTGACGAAAAATTTTAACATGCGCAGAAGTCCCATTTTCGTTGTACCATATTGACTGTTGCATTTCTCTAAAAAATCTTATTTTGATGCTGAATATCTATTTCTTGTTTGAGTTCAAACTTCCATATATCTTAAGAAAAACAGGTTAAATCCTTTTTCATTTTATTCAATCTTTTTATAGTGCATTTAATGGGATTAATCATGTATTATCGCTTCATATATGTAGTGTAAACATTTCAATAAATGTAAAATGACAAATAAATTCATAAAAAAGTCATAAAAACTTTGGTACTATACTAATGGTCTATTAACACGTGACAACAATATATTTATTATCTGACATAATTTATAAATGTCCAACA